TTGAATGGTTTCCTAGTTTCCAGGCCTCTGTAAGATTGTAAATCTAATTACAGCCTCCTTAAAAATAACTCCTACTGAAACCAAGTATGTTGTATGTAAATAATATTTTAGGAAAAAAGCCAGGGCTGGCCATACAAATAATTCTTAATCTTGAGATAGGATGCTTATCGGTAAAGTACAAATGATTGTTCTCTTTCACAATATTTCACAAGGAAGTCTAGATATTTACCCTGTCCCTATTTCTACCATACAGCAGCACCATCATGGCAAAGCGGCCTCCATCTTGCCCCTTGGTTACAGAATGTTGTCTAGTTTCATCCCCTAGGGCAGGGGTCCCAACCCCAAGCTTCAGTCCAATACTGGACCATGGCTGGTTCGGAAGTTGGCTCTAAGCAGCTGGGTGTGAGCACACACAGCCCATCACTTGCAGGGCCCAGTTCCACTCTCCCCCACACTGGGCCACCAAGCCTTAAAGATTGAGGACCACTGCCCTAAGGAAGGAGCAAATCAGCTTTAAGTCATCATTAAGGCTGCAGAAAGGAGAGTTACTTTTACAACGTAGGTAAAATCCCTATCACTTTGTCACCCACTATCTTGAAGGTGAATTCAGGTGATTGTCATGAGTGTGACTAGCATGGCCCCTCTGCCCGGCAATCTCTTTGGCCATTTTCATCTTGCTTTTCTTATTATAGCACTCTGCTCCCAGATTTTCTTTGAAAGTTACTCTTATCTTATTTCCCTATTTTTGAAGCAATATTTTTCCTAAGATTTCAACAAAGTAGAGGAAATAAAAGACCCCTATTTTATTTGGGGAACAAAAGTGGTTTTTTGTACAATTAATTCCCTTTTAGCGATGCTCAGGAATGATATCAGTAGACCATGGGTATCAAACTCATGGTGTCAAGTGACTTTTGCGACATTTTTTCCCTTTCTGGGAGCTGGGGTGGGTGTGGCCTGCAAGTGGTGCATCCAGCCTGCAGGCCCAGTTTGACAGCCCTGTAGTAGACCAAGGGCACCTTCTAACTTTAATGGTCAAAAATTCCCGTAAACACACTCCTGAACCTTGTGGACAGCCTTCCCAGAAGAGTTGAAGCTGTTATAGCTGCAAAG